GCAGGTGGTTGAGGTTGAGGAGTCTTCGTCAACTCCTGATGCCACATTCCTCTCATAAAGTCTAGCCTCCCAAATGATCTTTCTTGCAAATAGATTGAAAAGATACAGAAACAGGACACATCCCTAATGCAAACCTTTCCTGATTTTGAACTGCGCAGTGTTTCTCTGATCTGTTCAGATGACTGCTTCAAGGTCCAAGTATGGGTTTCACATGAGCACAATCAGGTGTTCTGGGATTCTCATTCTTCAGAAGGTTATCCACCATTTGTTGTGATCACAAAGTCAAATGCCTTTACAGTGAAACATAGACATGTCTTCGGTACTCTCTGTTTTTAGCCAAGATCCATCCAACATTGGCAATGATGCCCCTCATGCCACAGCCTCTTCTAAATCCAGCTTATGTTTCTGATAATTCTCTGTCCCTTTACTGTTCCAGTTGGTTTTGGATATTCTTCAGCAGGATTTTACTTGAGTGTGTTATTAGTGATATTGTTTGATAATTTCCACACTTTGTTGGCTCACCTTTTATTGGAACAGGAATAAATAAGGATTTCTTCCAGTCAGTTGGCCAACTGGTTGTCCCCCAGATTTCTTGGCACAACCTGGTAAGCATGTCCAAGGCTGCATCTGTTTGTTGAAATATTTCAATTGGTCTTCCAGCAATTCCTGGGGCCTTGTTTTATGCCAATTTCTTCAGAGCAGCTTGAAACTTCCTCTTTCATCACTCTTGCTTCTTGAACATAAGACATTTCTTAAAATTCTTCTGTATCAGCCAATTCTTTTTCGGTACAGTTACTCCCTCCATTTTCTTTTGATGCTTCTAGGATTGTTCAATAATCTATCCATAGCATACTTGAGTATTGCAACTTGAGGCTTGATTTTGTTCTTTTATATTAAGTAGATTATAATCATCTCATTTAGAACTCTGATAGTAAGAAGATGCACTGCTATTCAAAAGGCAGGCAGTTCAAATCCACCAGCTGATCTTCAGGAGAAGGATGGGCAATCTCCTCCTTCTCCTTCAGAGGTAGTGCAATTTTGCCTCTGAAAACCTGCTGAAGAGTCAGCTACTCAATAGCAAACAACAATACCAGCCTCATTTTGGTTCCAACAAGTAATCTGATTTTTTTTGAGGTCACTGATCATACCTAATTTACCTTTGAATCTATTGCCCTGCATAGAACCTGACTAGGTCAGTCGACAATAATTATTTTGTTGAACTTTTTTAAAAAACTGAAAATTCATAGCCTATGCTATGCAGAGAGCGCAACTCTGCTTGCTGAAACTGGAGAGGACCTGAAGTGCTTGCTGCAGAAGGTCAAGAGAACTTAAATATGTAGCCTTAAATGTGGATTGAAGCTCATCATCAAGAAAACAAAGATTTTCACCCCTGGGCTGATTGGCTGCATCATGATAGATGATGGAGAGATTGAGATTGTTAACAGCTTTAGTTTACTTGGTTTGACAATCAACATGCTTAGTACTAGCAGCCAGGAAATCAAAAGATTAACTGTATTGGGAATGTCTGCTGTCAGGAACTTCTCCAGAGTACTGAAGAGCAACACTATCAGTCCGGAGACCAAAGTGCACCTGATCCAGACCATGGTCTTTGAAATTACTTGATATGCATCAGAAAGCTGGGCAATGACTAGAGATGATGGAAGGAAAATTGATGCCTTTGAGATGTGTTGCTGGGAGGAGAGTATTGAATATACTATTTCAAATGGGAAAACAAACAGGTTCATCCTGGAGAGTGTGAAACAAACAGGTTTGTCCTGGAGAAGGTGAAATCAGGCTGCTCCTTGGGAGCAAGGATTCTGAAGCTCCCTCTGACATACTTTGAGCATGCTGCAAGGATGGGCTATTCCTGGGAGAAGGATATCATGCTTCGAAGGGTGGAGCAACAGCACTAGTGAGGAAAAACCTTGATGAGATGGATTGACTCAGTGGCTGGGGTAATGGGAGTAGCTATGTTAGAGACAATAATATTGGCACAGGATAGAGAAAGTTTCAGAGTTGTTGTACATAGGGTTGCTGTAAGTTGCAAGCGACTTGACGGCACATAACAACACAACAAAATGAATTGGGAATAATAATTCCTCAGGATCAATAAGATCTGGTTTGGATAAACTTGGAACTTCACAATGATTGTTGAGGATATTTAAAAAAATAATTTAAAATATACATATTTATTATTATTGTTTTTGAAGTAACGGGAGAATATGAAGTGTTACACAACTACTTGTCAAAAGGCTAGCTGGCAGGGTAAATCTAACCTTGAACCAAAAGGCAGCAACAACAGTCTGATTCAGATAAGTCATACCTTGAAAATCCAGTGGAGGAGTTCTACTCTGTGTATGTAAGGTCACCATGAGTCAGAAGTGACTCCACAACAACCAGCAAGAAGCAGTAATGGCATAAGTGGCCTAGAGATAAGAAGCTGTGCTGCAATCTTGAAGGCACATGGCTCAAATCACCAGCTGTTCTGCAGGAGAATAATGGACAATCTTCTCCTGCATGATTAACTGCCTCTGAAAACCTGTTGGAGCGTCTGCTATGGGTAAGTTTCAACTCAATGGTACAGAACAACAATTATTATTATTAATCATGGGAGATAGTGAAGAGATTGAGATAGTTGACAGCTTCGGTTTGCTTGGCTCTACAATCAACACTCTTGATATTAGCAGCCAGGACACTAAAAGACAAATTGCATTGGGAAGGTCTGCTGTCAGAGACCTCTCCAAGGTACTGAGGAGCAATGATGTCAGTCTGGAGACTAAGGTGTGCCTGATACAGGCCATGGTCTTTGTCATTACTTGCTATGCTTCAGAGAGCTGGACAATGACTAGGGATGATATAAGGAGAGTTGATACCTTTGCGCTTTCATGCTGGTGAAGAATATAGAATAGACCATGGACTGCTAGTACAATAAACAAGTTTGTCCTGGAGAGGATGAAGCCAGGCTGCTCCTTGGAGGCAAGAATTCTGAAGCTTCATCTGACATACTTTGGGCATGTTACAAGGAGGGACCAGTCGTTTGAGAGGGATGTCACACTTGGGAGGGTGGAGGGACAGCACAGGAGAGGAAGACCCTTGATGAGACGGACTGATTCCGTCACTGGGGTAATGGAGATAGACGTGTCAGAGACATTGAGATTGGCAAGGGATAGAGCAGGGTTTATGGCTATTGTCCATAGGGTTGCTGTGATCCACAGGTGACTCGATAAGACATAACAACAACAACAAACAAAATATATTCCTCATTAGGTTGAAGTAATATATACACAAATAGAGTAAATAATGAAGTTACCCACCTCAACTCTCCTCACGTTCTACTCCCCAGAGGCAAATTATTACCAGCTATATGTATCTCTTCAATGTATTTTCTTTGTTTCCTTTCTCACCAAGAATAAAGTCATATCATTATTAACTTAATTTTTATACTTGATGAGATGTACTCTGAGACAAAACCAGCATGAACCCAGACATTCTTTTCAATTGTATTTTGTTAGTGAAGCAAACAATAAAAAAACTCTCAAACCCATTTTTATGGAGTCAGAATAAACACATAGCTGACCCTTCACTATAGCAATGTCATAGATTCCTAAGTCTCATAGCGTATCCCATAATAAAAAAAGAACAGATGCAGATTTTAGACTCAGAATTAGATTTTACAGAAATAAAAAGTAACACAATTATCTATAGCTAATTCTCTGGTGGGGAGTTCTGGAGGCTTAGTGGTAAGGAGTTGTGCCTTCAATCCAAAGGCATTAAAATCCACAGATTCTCCATGGAATAAAGATGGGCAATCTCCTCCTATGTGATTTACAGCCTCTGAAAGGTCAGCCATGAACATGTTCCTACTTGGAAGTACACACACACACACACACACACACACACACACACACACACACTAGTTCTCTGTTGAGTTAAGGTAAGGTCACTTCTATGAGTGACTCAGCAATCTCTTCCAGGAATTACTCAGCGTTCTTCACTCTCACTTTGCTCCTTCTGAGTCTGTAAGACTGTGGTGGGTAGAAATATGGTCTGGTCATCAATATTGATCAGAGTGAAACTTTGTCTTATATACGTGGAACATGTTTTCCAGAAGGGGCAGTCTTTGAAAAAGATATCACAGTGGAAAAGATGGAAGGTCAGAGTAAGAGAATGACCTTTAAGGTCATGCTACATGAGCTTGATCATGGAGGAGATTGTGAGAATAGTTCTGGGTAGGGCCAGGTTCTAATCTATTGCTTTATGGTCCTCTGGAAACTCTGTGAATGCGGAAAAATGATGAAAGTTATACAAGTGTTCAGCTCTTTCGTTCATAGGGTTGCTATGAGTCGTCTGACTGAACAGCGTTTAACGACAATAACAACAACAACATAGAAAGAGCTCTGCTGGTCTAGTGGATAGAAAGTTATGCTACCAAGCCAAAGGTGGGTGATTTTAATCTATGGCTCTCAGGCCTGGTTTTAGTTGTTTTCATTCTTCTAAGTGGTATAGCACAGGTCTAGCCATTTGCTGTACAGAGGTTACTCGGTGGTTGCTGTGATGCTAAACACTTGTACGACAAATGGGATAATAGTTACCCATTGTGGACAGTATTTGTGATGGTCCCCGATTCAGACAAGCTTGGAAGCAGGAGTGGCATCCACTTCCAAAATGGCTTGCCTCTGGAAACTCTGTGAATGTGGAGAAACAACAAAAGTTACACAAGTGTTCGGGTCTTTTGTTCATAGGGTCGCTATGAATCATCTACAACTCAACGGCACTTAACAACACAACAACATGAGTCATAGTTGACTTGAAGGCATGTAACAGCATATTTGTTTATTCATTTCAGAATGCTTTCTTCAAATACAATATTACTAGATACGTAAAACAAATGAAAGCTGGTCAGATAAACATACGTTGGAGGCACAGAATCTCCAGTCATTCATTCCTTTTCATTTCTGTCTTGTCACACTCATGTCTATACATATTTCATTTGCCTTAAGATAATGAGAAGCCCATGCGTGTGGTGGATGATGAGGACTTGGTAGACCAGCATCTCATCAGTGAGCTGAGGAAAGAGTATGGAATGACTTACAATGACTTCTTCATGGTATTGACAGACGTGGATCTGCGAGTGAAGGTAGGAGTTCCTGTTCAGGATCATTACTGTGCCATCCTTTTGAATTGAGTCTGTAGTTCGTGGGGATTTTTTTTAAAAAGTTTTGGTTAAATGCATAATAAATAAGCTGCATAAATTATTTCATAAACTAGAAGATCTAGAAATGACTTAAGTATATTTTAAGTTGTCCTTCAAAATATGGGCCAGAATCTGGTCTCAGCAAAAGATAAGGTTGAGCGGGCTTCCCAAGGCCTCTCTAATATCAATACCATGGACTCACGAGACACTTTCTGCATAGCTGTGATATACGAGGCTCAGGGAATAAAAGATGAAGTATATTTGACCTTTATCATAAGAAAATTAAGCTTAACATTGGCCAAAGTGTGGATACTTACATCCTGCTGCAACATCGACAAAACATGTAGGGTTTCACAATCACTTTCTTTCCATATTTAGGGATGAAGGTTCATTAATGACTGTGCAGTGTGGACATAATAATAATTAGTAATGAAAATTACTGACTTCATTTAATGTGTTTCTTGTGCCAGGGACTCTGCTTAACTATTTGCAATCCTTATCTTAAATGAATACTAGTATTATCTTTGTTTCACTGAGGAAGAAACAGAAGCCCAGAATGGTTAAGTAATTTGAACAAACTCACCCAGTTAATGTTGGATTTTCAGCTAGCTAAACAAGGATAGTATACCAATTGTAAAAAAAGATCCTAGTTTGGGCTGTAAGTTGATTCAACTTGCAGGTCTTTTTGAATGTGGAAAGATTTCCCTTCTTTAATTCATTCAGCATTTGTGTGTGCCATTTCCATGTGAGAAATAAGACAAGATGATTTTAGGAACCCTGCTGGGAACATTCCACAATTTACTGAATTCTCATTGTGGGCACAACTCCAAGTGATGTCTCCACTGCTCTACAAGTTATGTTTAGCTAGCCCTGAAATCTATCACAGATTGCTATTATAAATCCAGATAGCTAAGATCCAAGAAACAAAATCTATCATCTTTAACTTATTTCTGAGACATGAGGAAGGAGAAGAATTTAAAAGGATGTTCACTGATTAAAATAACTGTTGGGAATAGTAAAGAGTTCAGGGAGACTCCTGTAGATAGCAACAGGTCTCTTTCTCATGGAGAAAGCTGTTACTTTCCAAAAGTATCTTGACTGCTCAGGGCAAATACTCTGACGTTTTATTCCATTTTGCCTCCTGTGTTAGACAGAGTGTCTCTCATTCCTCTCCAATTGTGTAATAACCAAGTTCCAGTTTAGTCTCAGAGACCGGAAAGTGAATCTTGCAATTGTCGGAGGAGGAAGGCATGGATCCTTGCCAGTGAAAAGAAGAAATCCCTGTGGAAAGTAGCAGTTGGTCTTCCAATCTCAGAGCATTAGCGAAGGCTGCGACTGTGGTGGAGGCAGAAGTGTTCAGTGGTTGGATTCTTGCCTTTTCATGTGCAAGATTTAGGTTCAGTTCTCATCCAGTGTTCCCCATCACACCCCTATCTGTTGGGAGGCTTTCGTGTTGCCATGAGGTCGACTAAATTTTTATTGAGTTTCCAAATGAGGACAGACTTGGAACAAAGCCTGGTAATTTACATCGGAAAATGAGCCAATGAAAATCCTGGGAGTCTGATTTCCCAGTCAGTTCTGGGGATGGCACAGAACTAGACTGCATGTTGTTCTTTTGTGCAAGAAGTCGCTATGAGCCGGAGGGCAGACTCTAGGCAGCTAAAATAAACCTTTGCAATGATTGCAGGAGAAAGCTCATAAATCAATGAGAACTCCAGGTTTCAATTTCTGACTTCTCCATGTTGTTGTGTTGTGTACTATAGAGTTGGAACCAATCCACAGCTGCCCTTTTATGAGTGTTCCAAGACTCTTAAACAAACTGGAAGAGATTGCCCATCCTCCTCTGGAGCAGGTGGTGGCCTTGAACTACATACTTTTGGGATTACAGCACAGCTTCTTGTCACTAGGCCACCAGAGCAGGAAGACAGCTTCCCTGAATTCCCCTAGGCTCCTTGTCCTCTAAAGAAAAAGACGAACCATACTTATAAGTAATTTCTTTTTCATTCTTTCTTAAACAGCAATACTATGAGGTACCCATAGCAATGAAGTCTGTGTTCGATTTGATTGATACCTTCCAGTCTCGAATCAAAGACATGGAAAGGCAGAAGAAGGAGGGCATTGTTTGCAAGGAGGACAAGAAGCAGTCACTGGAGAATTTTCTATCCAGGTATTTTATCTTTGTAGACTATGAAAATGCAGGGAGGAGAACATTTTTTAATGAAATAAAATTAATGAAATACCTCAGAAACTTAGAGTAACACGTGTGTTTATAGAGAATGACTTTCTCTGGAGAGAAGTTTGTCTCTGTTTCACAGCATGCTGGCTAAAAACCTTAATTCTGTTCTGTTACTCTGGTTGGTAAATTGGTTGAATTCAGTTTCAAGTTGAACTCTTCATTTGGTGACTGAATATTTCTTTCTTGTTGTCACATTTGCAGTTTTCTTTAAGGTTCAATGTATTTACTCAGTGAATTTGGAGAGCTTTATATACAGCATTTTCCTTTTATGTACTGATTACCTAGGCCCTTTCTAGTTCCAGACAGGATTTCACACACTGTGTTTGATTTTTCTGCTTCCTCCCAGCACTGTAGGGAACACAAAGGGAGAAATCCTCTTGACCCTGCTCCCTGATCCCCTGGGAACACTGTTTATTGAAAAGCACTGTACAGAAACCCCAGTGCCAGTGGGGGAGAAGCACACCCAGAGAAGAGTACAAAAGAATCACTCTACTCCCTCCCTTCTCTATCCCTCCCTTATGTGGGATCATAGTTCTGTGGAGCCTCTGGGGCCTGACTTAGTGGACAGCTGGTCCATTCCACTCACAACAACGAAACTCAGTGAGTTCTCAGTATAAACATCACCTAGAATGTTCTCTGGCTAGGGGATCCAGTGATGTGGTCTACATTTGCTTGGACGCTCAGTGTTAGATATATAGCACTGCAGACAGAACCTCCTGATTTATGTCTTGTGAAAGTAGAAGGACAACTAGAAAAATGTGTGTGAGGGTCCAAGGGGAGTGGGGTAGGAGAGAGGGATAAAGATGAGTAAGGGGGAAATCACAGGGTCACACAATTTGGTTGGTGGAAGGAGGGGAAAAAGGAAATGTGAAAGATCCAGTGTGAATCTGGAATGACAGGGCAATGGCAGGAATAGTTCAAAGGCGATTAATTTTATAAAACACAATAAAGGAGAATGATTGTATGAAATACAATGTGAGAAAAGGATAGTGTGAAACACAGTGTATACAAACTTGTATGCAAACCAATGTGATTTTTTTTTTAAAAAAGTATATTAAAACATACACACAGAGATGTAAATTTGAGAGTTAAGAAGTCTAGGCATACTTAAGCTAAAAATTTTAATTCCTATAGGTGTCAGGGAGCTCTGGTGGCCTAGTGGTAAGAATCGTCACAGCAGTCCTAAAGGCACACGGTTCAAACTCACCAGCTGCACCATGGGAGGATGGATAATATCCTCCTGTGCGATTGACAACCCGCTGGAGGGTCAGCTATGGGTCAGTTCTGAATTGATAACACACAACAACAACAACATAATGTCCAGAGAATACAGTCTTTCAGGCAGGAAGTCATATACAGAATTTACCATTGGTCTGTGACTTAGGAGCTGTGTTGACTCTACACCTTTCAATTATTCTGCCTTTAAAAGTTTCTCTTTGATTCTTAAGATTTAGATGTATACTCTTCACATACAGTGTTTTGAACTCAATAAGGTCTTAATGTTATCACTTACATTTATTAATATTTCAAGAACATATTGTTGTAGTTGTTATGTGCCATCGAGTCGTTTGCGACTCATAGCAACCCTATGAACAACAGCCCTAAACCCTGCTCTATCCTGTGCCAATAGCATCATGGATATTTATTATGAGTATAATATGTTTGGTATATTCAGAGTGGAATATGACTAAGTGAAAGGAAGACCCTCCGCAAGCTGGATTGGCACAGTGACCACCCAATGAGCTTGTGTATATCAGAGATTATGATGATGGTGCTGATAGGGCAAGGTTCCCCTCATAGAGTCTACAAGTCATGGTCAGTTCGACACTATGTATAATTAGTAGTTAGCTGGCCCATTCCTGAGCCTGATTAGTGGTCATAACACATAAAACTATTCCTCTGAAAATTATTACTGAGCTTGAAGTTTAAATTAGAAGAATGTATTACTTAAAGGCGTGCAAAAAATAGCCTGGAGTTTGATTTCTGACTTCACTGCTTATTAACTTTGTGACCTTGGGCTAATGACTTTAACCTCCCTCCTAGTTTTCTCATTTGCAAAATGAGGACAGATGTATCTATTCATGAGATTGTTGTGAATGGTAAATTTAATGAAACGTAGTTAGCTAAATGAAATGTAGTTAACTCAGAACCTAGCATTTTATATATAATCGATACATGATTGCTATTAATACTAGGACTAATTATCCAGGTCAGTGAGAGAAATTTTTAATCAAGGGAGATATAAGAAAGGGAGACTTTGAAAGACCCTAGAATTAAAAATCAAGCCAAGAGAAATGCAGGGGGAAGGGGGAGAGTAAATTCAATCAACAGCTCTGTGAATATCTGTATCCAAGTGGGAATTTTCCTTTAAATTTGCTGAGTCCTTGCTTTAGCTGATCAGACCCTAAAGCCAGTCTGATTTTCAGTGAAGCTCTTTTGGTTCAGGGTATAATTACCCTTTCCGGGACAGAAACCCCAAAGAATGGTATCAGATGCCCACTGGTTTGGGAATGCCAGTTAAGAGAAGCAAACACATGCACAATTTGTACAATTTTTAGTTACTGAGAAGCTTAAATAGCAGAAAAGCAAGTTATCCAAAATATGGATCTAAGCCATAGTCATCTCTCTTGTTGCATCCTATGGAGGTTATTTCCTTTGTTGTCAAAAGGTAGACCTTGGCTTGATGGAAGGTCTGTAGGAGAAAGAAGCAATATTTAAGGAAAAATGTTCTCTCCTAGCATGTCTGTGGCAAGGAATCTCAGATCCCGGCCCACTCCCATCAGTGGTACACGCAGGTAAACAAACCAAAATATACCTCACCCAAAATAGCTTCCTCCTGGACACCCTGCTGCCCCAAGAAGGCTGGGCTGGGCTCAAGGCTGGCCAGAAGGTTGGTGCTGGTCTGGCAGGCCTCCTAAGGAAGCAAGAGGAAGGACAGAGGACTGTGTCTTGATCTGATGGCAGCCACTTCTCCTTTCCCTAAAACCTCAGCGTCTCAGATGCTCTCTCCCCACCTCTCCACCAGACACATGTATCTGCCTATACTCAGTGGAGAGTCTAAGTTTGTCTTTCTCTCTAAAGAAAAACAAGCAGAGGAAGCAAATGTAATGTTACAACAAGCAAATCTTGGCGAAAGGCATGGTGCAGAGTTTATATTTCATCAGACTATCATTTTCTTTCATTCACCCAAACCACTACTCCCCCAGGAGGTTATTTTCATTGAAGATCAAAATGGTCACTGTGAGACTAGAAGAGGGACAGGGAGAGAAATCATGAATAAAATTAAGCATCTTCTATCTCGGTGTCCTCACATCCCATAGTTGTTTCATTTGCACTGAAGGGGAGATAAAAACTTACAATGAATTTCAGATTCCAGACAACTCCACAGAAGGGCTCTGGCATGCATCTTTTCTTCTTCACACCCTTTTAGGGAACCTTGAGAGCATCTTCCAACTACTAGCATCTCTACGAGTTGTTATTGTTGTGTATGTCGGAACCAACCCATAGCTGGCCCTCCGACAGATTTTCAGAGGCAGTAATAGCACAGAAGAAGATTACCCATCCTTCTACAGAGACTTTACTACTTTGAGCTGTGTACTGGAGAAGAGTACTGAATATAGCATGGACTGTTAAGAAAACAAAC